GCATCAGTTCGTTCCATAGTTCAGTGCTTTTATTGCACCAAAGCTTTCATATGCTTCAAATCATTATATATTATAGATATAGTTTATAGTTTACGATTTGTTTCGAAATTATATTAAATAATAATTTAATGTTGTTTCATTATTTATTGATCTACAATAATCTACTGTTTTAATGAATATTTTATCAATTTTCTATATTCATTCAAAATCCTTAGATTGGAGATTTTAATAAATTTTTGGCGATTTTAAACTTGGATGTGTTACATGTGGTGCCATTGGAACTCTGTGGTGCTATTCATGAGGAGTCCATTGGCAACCAATGCTTCAAGCTCTTGAATAGCTTATAATTTTTATAATTTTGTGATCAGCAATTGGCGTGGGAACTTTTAACCAATGAACGCGTCATAAGGCTGTGAGATGAACCACTTTACTCTAAACTGATTCCTATTTTAAAGAAAGTTTGTTTTTCTTGTTCTTGTTTTTGACAGCTCTCACCATTACTGATTAAGCGGGTTTAAAGGGTAAGACATTTCCAAGCTGCGCGATCTGATGCTATTGTCGACAGTAAAAGCAATTCCTTTTTCCATCGTGAGTCCATATATTGCACCTGATTCACCTAATACGTTCAAAATCTTTCTGTTCAAGTTTGCTTGGCGCACCTCGCTTTTGACGCCACCTATCATATGGTTTAGCAAGTAACAAAATATGTATCAACTCTTGATGTGAGCGACAAAGAAAGTGATCTAACCAGCGAAGGCGAGGTTTTGCGATGGCTATGTTAATGCAAATGGGCGAAAATTGATGCAATCAATTGTAAGGTTTTCTCTGCACGGCGAGTCCACAAAATTTACCTTAGACATGAGTGGTCAAAGGCAGATAGATTCTTAATATCTCTTATTGACCATGTCTCGCAACCATGCAACAAGATCGAACGAATCATGGCAACACAGACATAGACACAGACTTTAGTTTTTTTGGTGATTTCACGACGGTTCTATAAGGGTTTCGACGATCGAAATAACGTTATCAGAGTTATAATTTCGTCTTTTACCTGGCCATTCGATATTAGAGTGGATCCAAGGTGTTAAAAATTGGGCATTCCCACAACCGATAATGAGTTTATAAAATGAGGCATTTTATTAGTTCCTTCGAATCCATCGAGCGGATAAATTCGCACATAATCTCATCCATCTTTGCTCAAATACCACCTATATTAATAATGTTATCACAGAGCGTCGCCATCGGTGGTTCGGTGGTAAGGCACGTTCTCCGTCGTCCATCACAGGAGTTGACGCATATTTCGTTAATTACTGTGATGAATGGCGGCAAAAGCGATCAATTGGGGCCAGTCGAGATCTGGACTGTCAGGAAAGATTTTGATTTTGAACTTTTATAGATAGACCAGCAGTATATAGACGAGACGATGGAAAAAGGAATGGCTACTATTACTATCAAGGATGATATCAAATCTTGTGACAATTTGGAAACGTCTTACTCTTTTAACCAGTGAAAGTCTAACCATTAACGTTATTATCATCGTATGATAAACAAGATTTATATGTCAAAATGTAAAAATAATTCTACCGACTCATAGGACCAGTGTTTTGCCTATAAATGGCAGTTTAAGCGCTATAGATCATCTTAAATATGATCAAACAAAATATATCGTGAATTCATGATAAAAAAACAAATTATATTATAAGAATAATAGAATAAGAACAATTGAAGATCGCCATATTTTATATGCAACATCATTATCAAATATAAAATATTAGAAATGAAAATATAAAAACATTATAAACAGTACAATGTGGGACTTTCGTAGAGACCAGCAATTTAACGAGCAATTGACTACAAAAAGCTAAGACAATTGCTCTCCATAGAGTTATCGTGATAATAGCCATGATAAATGATTAAATTTGAGCTTATTGAAGTTGTTTTTATTAATTAATACTCACCATTTTCTACTATATATATACGAGATTATTGTCCTTGTTGATAATTGAAAATTAATGAAATATTAAATTAATATAAAATCATAATTTGATATCAATTTGTAAGAAATTCTAAATCGTAAAACATGGTGCAATATGGTCGATTCCAAAAAAATTTACCGTCACCGGAATTTGGACAAAATTTAATTTTTCTTCATAATTTCTTTAAATTATTAGATAAATTATTAAATTATTTAAATTATTAAATATCAAATAAATTCTGCAAAACTCAATTTCTTTCTTCTAAAACATTTCATTTCATTTGAAAAATATAAAAATTTACCGCAAAATAGAAATAAGAAATAAAATGAAAGCAACATTGCTCGCTAAAAAATTTCTTTAAAAAATTGGCTTTTCTATAAGAATCTGAAATTTACAATCTTTTCAAAAAATTTTATGCTAATTCAATTAAGTTTGACGGCTAATTTTTTTCAGTTAAATAATTTCAATATTTATATTTTCTTCAGTGTGTTGATTAATAGAGTTTGCAGTATAAAATGTTTCTAAATATGTGAAAGTTTAGGCGCATTGTAAGCAGCCGAAGCTGTTGTTCGATTTCCCGCAGGAGTGAACCTGTGCAAAAATCCGAGTGATGCTGGCGACTCACCTGTATTTCTATTTACGAATTATATTGGCAAAAATTTTTCAAAATTTTCCCAACAATGAATGACTACGGTTTGCAAAATAAACAAAAGCGTTCAAAAGTGCAACTTTTGATAATAATTCTTTTGCTATTAATGGAACTAAATATCAATGGAAAACAGTACAGTGGTCCAATAATTATGGCTTTTCTTTATTCGGCCTGGTTTCTCAAATAGGATGGCATTACGTTTCCAAATGCACCAACCAAATGCTAAATTCACTAGTGCAAAACCTCTTTACTTGAAATATCGAATTATGCCAATGATTAAGAAAAATCGAGGTGAAAATTGATTTACCTTGTACCCATGTAATAAAAAAGAAGCAGATAGGGTAGGATTCGTGAATCTATTGGTTTCGGCTTTATCATGCACACTATGCGAAAACAGAATTTAAATTGCAACGCAGACTTTTACTTAGGATTTGGAGCTAATCATAAATAAATAAATATTCATATATTAATATTAAGCAAATTAAAAGGTGTATACAGCTCGATGCCTCATGAACAAGAAACATAGAACTGAAATTCATGAAATTTCTATTGAAACGAGTCGTAGACATATGGATTTTCGAAAAATTCTCACTGATTATTGCATCAAATTCATCGGGTTGAGATGGTGTCGGCCTTTGGCTGAATTTTCATGGCAGCGATAGTGTTTTCCAAAATATCGAGAAAACAATGAAGTGATTTAGGTTATTCTCTTCCTAAAATCAAACACAATTTCAAAATCTATAGCATCGTTGATCTCAAATACTTTTTTCGTTTCAATGAGCAATAAAATTTTATGAACTTTACTGTTGTTTATAATCGGTATTTACTTCTATCAAATCTAATCATATCTAATCATATCAAATTGTGATTGATGCTTCTTTTATTTAATTGTAGATAATTCAAAATGATATAAACATATTAGTCAAAATGGAATTTGTTCAGCTTGTAAAATCGCTATAGAATATTTTAGAAAATATTGTTTTTAATAGTGATTTGTCAAAAATTTGTTTTTTGTGATATTTGTTGTTGTCGACAGAAAAACTATTCATCAAAAGTTATAGAAAACTCGTAAATTTGAACTACAGAATGCTACGAACATGAATTTTATTAAGGATTTTCATGCATAGAAAAATTAAACATTTTTTCGAAAATCTATGAAAAATGTATTAGTTTATCGCGTTTGAATGACACTATAAAGAATAAGTCATTTGGTCTCAGAAAAGTCTCAGATGACAATAGCGAACTAATGGAAGTGATTTGCAGGGAATTGGTTCTAGCATGTAAAATTATAACTTATCCATATGCTATTTATTTAATCTAATAAATTTTCAATGATAATGATAATAATCATAATAAGTTTACTAGAACATTACGAAAGAACATCTTTTTTTAAAATCATTCACATCATTGCTGATTACTCCTTTTCGCTCCTTTGGGTTGTTGAATTACAAAACATGCTAGGACCAATTCCTTTGATAATAGAAGTACAGGCATCATTTGGATTTATTCCTATCGAAACTGGAATCTTAACAACAGCGCTACGAGCTGGGCAAAACACACTGAATCATTCTAGTAAACTTCTCTTCCCTGCTGCATTCATTATACATCCTAAACAATATAAAATATATTTTGAGAATAATTGCGCCAATGCATGCTCCAGCCGGATTCGAACCCGAGCCTTGATCCTCTGTGGTAATTATCTCGCCGCTCAAACATCAGAGAATCGATATATATCAATTTGTATAATATTCAGAATCGAAGAAAAGACCAATTTTTAAAATTTTTTTAAGAAAAAATACTTTACAAATGCAACGAATGCCGAGTAAAAAAGTAATGTTTGTGAATATTCAAAAATATCGAAAATCTAAAAACGATAAAAATTCATTTTTGGAAAACTGAAAAAAAAAGATTATCGAAAGCCTTTTCTTTTTTATTATTATTTATTGATATTATTACAAATAAGTAAAAATTGGCTAAAAGAGCCCACGTGAAATTCATTCCAACTAATATCCCAATATTATTTTCCAATGAATGTTTATTCTAATTCAACTAATTGAAATACAAATAGAGCCAGATTTCTGTTTTTTTTTTCACATAATTCACGTACCAATTACTTTATAAAGTCAGTCAGAATCTAAACGATAAAGCATATTTTGAGAATATTGCACCAATGCAATTCATTATGCTATTGGCAGTGATATTATTTATCTCTCAACTCGGTAAATTCAATTAAAGTACCAATTCTTAGTTACCTTTCAATCGTGTAGGAGAGAAATTTATTTATCACTTATATATTTTATCTATAAATTATCAAATATAACAAAGTTTATCAAGTTTATCAAAGTTGAAATTTAATTAAGTATGAAATAGGTCGAATTTTAGATCGACTTATGGCGGCAACCTGCTCCAACTCAAAAATTACTGAAGAAATGCGATTGCAAGTATTAAACGATCACAATAAGCTTAGATCACAATTAGCGAACGGTGAATCTGTAGCAAATGGAGGTCATAAAATGCCAAAAAGTTCCAACATGCAAGAACTGGTTAAATTCATAAAAAAATTATTAAGATTAGTAGAAATTGAAATATGTCGAATGCAAATAATATAATATTGGTTTATTTTTAATATTTTTTTAGGAATGGGATTGTACGTTGGAAGAAAGAGCACAAAAATGGGCCGAAAATTGTGAATTTGAACATTCAAAACAAGAATTTCGTAATTTTAGTGGTGAGAACCTCTATGCCAGATGGGAGAACCATGAATTGCCGCTAGGTATTTTTCTTGCCTTATTTTTTTCTTGCCTTAACACCACTTGAAACACTTTATCAGCTGAAGTTCTATTCTTCCACAAGTTCTATTCTCAAAATTTATTTTCTTTGGTATGCGAAAATTATGCCGAAGATGATGGGCATAAATAGGGCTTGATTGATCGTCCTTTAAACGGTTCCATGCTAAAATGGTCCAAAACAATTCTAATTTTGCAATGTCTTATCCTATCTTATCTTAATTTTTACGCTAGATAAGCAACAATTTATCGATGCCCTACAAGGATGGTGGTGGGAAGAATTAGAAGATATGCCGGCGCAATCAACGATGGATGGAACTCCATGGAGTGTTTTGCATTTTACTCAGGTGCATTTTAGTTAGTTTATTGGTTCCATACTAGCATTTATTATATAATTTCTGGTAAGAAATCACAAAAATTACTTCTTTTATGATGAAATAAAATTGGTTAAAAATTGCATAAAATTGCAACTTATTAAAAGATTCAGTATCTCAATATATTCAGTGTCTCAATATAAAATTTTTTTAAGATGGCATGGGCAATCACAAGCAAACTTGGATGTGGAATGGCTCGGTGCTTAAATAACAATGGATATAAATATATGATTCATGTCGTTTGCCACTATGATCCAAGGTATTTTTTATCAATAACTAGCTCTCATTTAATAATTATAATAATGCGAATTTCAGAGGGAACTGGGATGAGAAGATTTATGAAGAAGGTGAACCATGTAGTAAGTGTTCAGATTATCCTGGCAAAACATGTAATGGCAAGGGTCTTTGTGCGTCTGGTAATAAACCAGCTGAAACACCCAATGAAGAACCTCCAACTAAAGAAAGTGAAGAACCTGAGAAAAAACCCACAAGTGACGAAGAAAACGAAGAGCCAGCAGAAGAAACACCTAGCAGTGAAGAAACTCCAGTTGAAGAAAATGGACAACCTGAAGAAGAACCAACAAGTGGAGAAGAAAATGAAAATCCCGAGGAAGAAACACCTGGCAATGAGGAAATCCCAGGTGAAGAAATTGAACAACCTGAAGAAGAACCCACAAGTGGAGAAGAAAATGAAAATCCTGAGGAAGAAACACCTGGCAATGAAGAAATCCCAGGTGAAGAAATTGAACAACCTGAAGAAGAACCCACAAGTGGAGAAGAAAATGAAAATCCTGAGGAAGAAACACCTGGCAATGAAGAAATCCCAGGTGAAGAAATTGATCAACCTGAAGAAGAGCCCACAAGTGGTGAAGGAAACGAAGAGCCCATAAATCCTGAAGAGGGCGAAACGCCTAATAATGAAGAAACTCCAAGAGAAGAAGGCGAACAACCTGCTGAAGAACCCACAAAGCCTGAGGAAAACGAAACGCCCGGCAAAGAAAAGCCCGAGGAAGCAGCTCCAGGTGAAAAACCGACTGATAAAGGGGAAAAGCCATCGTCAGGTTTCAAAATTATTATGATTTTATTTAATTCACTGGCTTATTTGTTTTTTCACCGTCTATCATAATGAGACTCGACTTTGACTTATTGCATATTGTTATTTTACTAGTTATTTTGAAATTTCACTAAAACCTTCTCTGCCATTAGGCAGCTTATGTCCTGGATCGAAAATCACTTTGGCTAGCCGTGATAATATTTTGGAGAAACTCAATGAAATTCGGAAAAAAGTGGCTGCAGGTCAATTTTCAACATTAGATGGAACATATCCGAGGGCCAAAGAGATGTATAAACTGGTTATTACTTTTTAAAATTCTAAAAAATCATGAAAATCTTTTTTTAAAAAAAAGGCTTATTTATTCTAATTTTAATTTTCTAATTGAATTTAAAGAGATGGAATTGCTCGTTGGAGAAGTTGGCTCAGGAACACGTCGACAGATGTCATTATGATCATTCAGATTTCTATTTTTCAAATTATAATGGCGATGGAGTTGGTGAAAATTTGTTTTCGAAATGGACTCTTGAAAATAAGCCCACAGGTATGTTTTTTTTTTGTTTTATAATCAAAAAATATTTTACAAATTTTTTTAAAATTTGTAAAATATTTTTTAAAATTATATTGAGAAATTATTAAAAAGAACTCGACTACGATTAATTCTGCTATTTTTCTTTTTCGAAAATTCATTTAGAAAAATTTTCATGAGAATCATATGGTGAAATAAAATTTTAATGAAAACCCTATCGATTATAGGATATTCGATTATAAATAAAAGTAAATTTAAAAAATAAATATTAAGTGAAATAAAAAAATAGGAGCACCAGTGCAATGCGACTGATTGCCAGTGTTCCACCTATGCAGGCTTCTCGCTCTAATGTCATATGTATTAGCAACAGAAGTCGCTATTTCTTCTCCCATCATCTGAACTCATCTATTATTTGAACTCGAATCGAAATCTTTTGATCTTTTGTATTATTTTAGGCTCTTGAATCCGGATTTTAATTTGATCGCATCCACTACATACGGCTCTAGTCACTGTGAATAATAACATAGTGCTCATAGAAGATGCTGGTAGCGATTAATAATTAGGGTTATGATGATTTATGAATGTAGAACTGTACATCTCATATACAAAACGAGAAATCGCAGAATCTCTAAACTTGACCTCGGCTAGAAGCCAATTTTGATAAGATTAAATATAAGATAAGATTGATAAGATTAATAATTAAAATTGATAGTACTTTTTGCAAATGGTTATTTACAGTTGGGACTTCTTTTCTTTCTGAATTATTCATAAAATTATTGTGATATAAATTGTAATTTCCATACTAGGCCTATATTTTGAGATATCAGGAGATAATGGACAAACGGACTTTTGATTCACAAACGATGTCCACACTGTATTTAGGCAAAGTATGGAAATTATCGGTTGATTCTTTATAGCTATAAATATTCCAAAGTACTATGAAATGCTCCAAGTACTATGGTTATTCACATATGTCAAATTTTGATCGAATTTTTCTTACCTGAGTTCGAGCGGCCTCCTTTATTTCAAGGGCGTCACTTATTATTTCTGCGCCTGGACCAAATATTTATCACATCTATCGTGTATTCTAAGGAAACCCATGCATCCAGAAATATCCGGAGGTCGTTTAAAAGTTGAAAGTTTGTAAGACCTATTCACCTTAGATTCACTTATGAATATAGGTACAGATTAGCGAAGAAGATAGATCTACACTTCGGCTTGACTTTAATGATCAATTATTTTCTATTAAGACAAATAAGGAAATAATATCTTGATTATTATTAAGAAGGGAAGGATTTTCTCCATCGATAGAGGCGGAGGCGGTTATTATAATTCCTAATAGATCTCTTTAAGACTCCTTATCGTTCAGGTAGGCAAGGACAACTACTTGATATCTGAATATTGGCAATTATCGACTGTCTGCTAACATTCTTTCTGGTATTCCACATAGTCACAGAAAAATTCTCGTTGCATGCCCACAAATGATTTTTCACTTTTCATAGCAAATCTTGAGCAGTTTCATTCTCTAAATAGCCTAAATAATAAATAAACCGCTTTCAATATTTGTAGCCGAATTGAAACAATGCAGGATAAGGGACAACACTTCTCCTAGTAGATTAATACCATTTGATTCTAATATCACTCTTTATCACTCCTTATCACTCCTTCATCGAGGAAATATTTGATGATGTTAATACAATTGGTTAGTTTTTAATAGCTTTAATACTAGATTTGTTTCCGTCAATAAAAAAAAAAGAAGTGGTAATATCGCGTAGGATTCACAGAATTATCATTGCAAAAAAAAAATTGCGAAAAAACAACCACTTTAAAATCATTTAATATCATTATTTAAATGATTATTGCATATTTTATACAATAATTTTTGCAGATGATATGTTATCAGTTGCGTTGGAAGAATGGGTAAAGAAAGATATGTCAATTGGAGAAACAAGTTTATCAACCGACCGATATATACACGCTTTTAAAGAAGAATTCGCACAGGTTTTATCTATTCTTTGTTTATAACCTAATTAAATCTATAATAGATCTCGAGTTGCGTAAGCTTTCGTTATTATTATCAGATTTTTTTCTCTTAGCTTTTTTTTTCTCCGAGCACATTTATCACTTATCATACATTTATCGCTACAAGTTATACCACTGGTTACACGTTAAACGTCGTTTTTTCGGATTATAATCCTTTACCATTGAGTCCAATACGGTTTGAAGCATAGATGGGTTTTTATACTAAAATTATCCAAAATTTTTAATATCAATGATAGAATTATTTCTATTAAGCTTAACATAAAAAAGATTAGTAAATAATAAAAATAAAATAATAAATGACAAAATTAAAAATATCAGTGAATATTATAATAAAATTATGAAAAAAATTACAACCGCTCAAAGTTGAAATTTTAAATTTAAATTTAAAAATTGGCCACATTTTTTAAAATCATTTTCTTTAAAATTTTTTTTATATTAAATTTTTTTTTTTTATATAATTATCTGTTTTCTATTCACCGAGAAATATGCTTAATCGTCCATTTATTCAATAAGAATTTCTCATTAAATATTTTAGATAATCACAGCGAACACAACAGAGATTGGCTGTGGAATATCATTTTGCCAACTTCCTGGACATGGCAAATACTATCTTCAGTTTATCACTTGCAATTACTATCCAAAGTAAAAATTTTAATATATTTGAATTTTCTCATATTTAGGTTGACATTCAGGTTGCGTTTGGTTTTTAAGGTTTACATTTTAGTTGAAATGAATAAATCCTAGCAGTTATATACAGAAAAATTGTAATTTTTAGTGGACAAAAATGGCGCGGTAAATTATATGAAAATGGTGAGCCGTGCAAAAGTGATGCGGAATGTAAGGTCTATGCTTCATCAAAATGCCTATCGGGAGAAGGCCTCTGTGAGAGAAAATAATTCGTCATTCCAAATATTTTTATTCATTTATAGTGATAAAAATAAAGAATTTTTTTGTTTATAATAGGTATCACATTTTATCACATTTTCGTTATTATCGAATACAAATAGTGAAATGAAAATCGAAAAAAAAAGCAAAAAAGATAAGATAATCTCGATGAAAAAATTAGTTATTTATTATTTCCTAGATTATCTTGCAGAAAAACATTAATCAATTAAAATTATCAGCACACGATTTTAATATAAGATGCAAGGAAATGGTTTAGCGTGTCGTTTTGAGATGTAAGGTTCAATTGCTTCCCTAACAGGAGTGGATCTGCCGTTAAAAAAACAGGAAGGCACTGATAATCCTTCTAATCGTACTAACAACCAATGGAAAATATGGCATTATGTAGCGACATACGTTATTATATTAAGTATGGCATATAAGTCGCAATCTACTGGAGTTGTTTATAATATGGAGGTTTATATCCTACGAAAAAAGAGTAGTGGCTTGGATACCTTTATTTAGAGTAGAGAAATTATAAAATGCTTGTAGCAGTAATCAGCCACATCAAAAAGCTTATTGCTCCCTCCAAATTTACGAGCATTCAATCCGTATGTTGACCAAAGTTATTGGTGTATCGAGGAATTTCTCAAAGATATCTTTCCTGAGTGGTTTTCTTAGGCTATTGTCCAATCGATTTTTTCCAAATTCTGGAATATGTTAAATATGGCTCTAATTTCTTCCCTGAAGTATAACTATTACATTCAAGTTATTATTAAATTTAAATATTTAGCCATTTTTATTTGGCTAGCTATTGTCAAAATAGCCTCTGATAATTCTGTGAACCGTAATCAGCTTGGCTAGTTGTTGTCAAACTGGCCTCTATGAGCTTCCTGACGAGTGAATGTGGACGATTAATTCGAATTATAATCATATTTTATTTGAAGGGTTACAAATCATTATTTATGATTTAAGCAATTTGCTACATTCATTCAGAGCATTCAGAATAGAAAAAGAACCAGCGGATTTCTCGGACATCATCTAGTAACCCAGCGGACATCATCTGGAGTCCTGAAAAAATGAGCCATAAGCCGTTGAATAACCATTTTTTCCGATAATGAATAGCTATTGGCTTGAAACCTTTTAGCCAGTGATAAAATAATTTTTATCCAGTGCACTATTTGTCCATCCATACCTCTTAGCTGATTCCTAACGATTTGATAACGATTAAATAAATTCTTAAATAGCTTAAAATAGATCAAGTGTATGGGAAAATGAAAATTGCGATGATGCATTCAATTGGGCAGCCTTAAAAGCCTATTTTATGGAAATTTTTTCAGAAAAATATTTTGGGAATCTTTCTGTAATATTGATAATCCGATATTGATAGCCAAAATTCAACACAGCCCTTCTAACCAGAGACATATTAACATTACTACCTTTGCTAACAGAAGTTAGTTGCTTCCAATACGACCTATTTTAAGCTAAAGAAATTTTCCTCGTTGTCTAAGTGAGCAAAGAAGGCCTACTACACCAGAGACCATTATGACTAGCCTGATCTTATTGACTACCATCATCGTACATTTCGATCTTTCGAAAGCTTTTGACTGGTTACCCGTAA